TCTGGCCTTAACTAATAGGATCTTGAAAAAGAGCTGTGATTAGGACTCCTCTGCTCCCAGGCCTAAACAGGAAACTGAAGACCTTCCAGTAGGTTGGTGCAGTGAGAGGCAGCAGGAGGTTCTCTCTCTCTCAGCCAGGGAGGTGAGTGGCCTTGTCCCAGGCAAGAGCAGAGACTGGATAAAAGGGAGTGTGTTGGGGGAGGGGGGGGACAGCCCACTTCATCTTTGTTTTCACCATACCCCCTGCCTCCCCCTCCCTCTCTCCCCTCCCCCCTCCCCCCTCTCCCCCTCTCTCTCTTCCTCCTCTCTCCCTCTTTCTTTCCCCTTCTCTCCCTTCCTCTCCCCCCCCCCCCCGCCTATGTGCCATGGCCTCCTTGCCAAGCAATCAAGAAAGATGGCAGATGGAAACAGGAGGGTATGGAGAGCTTGCCCCTCAGACCTGGAACCAGCGGCAGCCAGATGACAAGCAGCCAGGGAAGCCAAGAGGTGCAAGAACCTTGGCCTGCAGAAACCTGGTCCCTCCCACGGAGCTCTGCTTTGCTTTTGAAAAACACAGATTCGAATACCTCTTGTCTACAGATCAAGTCCCACAGGAAGGCACACTCTGAGACCCGGGCCTCGTTACGCCAGCTGTCAACCTGACACACACCTAGAGCCCTGTGGAAAAAGGGAGCCTCAGATAAGGGACCTGTCCAGATCAGCTTGGCCTATAGGCATGTCTGTAGGACTTCTTCTTAACTGCTAACTGATAAAGGAGTACCCACCCCGGCATTGGGCAGGTAGCTCTGGGCTATATGAGAAAGGTAGCTGGGCAAGACAGAAGAAACACCTTTCCCTGGTCTCTTCTTGAGTTCCTGCATGGCTTCTCTCAACGATGGACCGACTATAACCTGTAAGATGTGATAAACCTCTTCTTCCAGCCTCGTTTGGTCAGGGTCTTATCACAGCAATGGAGAAGCAGACTAGAACAGACTCCAAAAGCAAAAGTGAAGCCCACAGCCCTTTCTGAGCCACGCTGCCTCCTCTTGCTGGCCATCGCTCACAAAGGACCATGGGTCCTGAGCTGGAGGCAGCCAGCTCAGCCTCTCCCTCCAGATTCCATTGCGTGCAAACGCAATGTGTGTGTGTGTGCACTTGAGCTTGCCCCAGGCTGCCGGAGGAGCCATTCTCACATGCAGGAGCAGATCTTAATACTCTTCATTATCTCAAGTCACCTTCTGAGGCATGTTTTGGTGTCAAGTGAGTGTTGGGGAAGCTGTGATAACACAGTAATTTACTAAGAGCATCGCACGGAAGAGCGTGATTATCAGGTGCATCAGACTGGGTCCCTGGGTATTCCCGTCAGAATGCTGGTACTCTAGCTGTGGCTCCGGGCACGGAGCAGGCCCTACCACACACCCAGAGATGACTCCCATCTGCCACTGGCAGCTACCCTGCCCCTCACCGGTAGCACAGCAGGAAATCCCAAAAGCCTCAGTCCAGCCCAGAAAGCACAAGGGGCTGAGGGAAGGAGGCTGAAGCAGAACATAAAAATTAAAAAAGGGACCCTGCCACCTCCAACGGCAGCTGACTTCAGAGAGGCGGCAGAAAACAAGATGTTTAGGCCGCCTGAATGTTTTATGAACCTGTGAAAATATCGGGCCGCTTCAGAAGCGAATAAGGGGTGGCAGGCAGCTAATCAAAAAGATGTTGGTACAAATGGGAGGTGTCTGTGGAGCGGGGGCCCACGCAGGCAGGGAGACCTGTAGCATGGGGAGAGGCAGACTCCCGGGCAGAAACGGCTCCATGAAAGGGGGAAACTTTGGAGACGGCCCCCCCTCACTTGTTTAAAAATAAAAAATTCCTCACCGTGCGTCAGCTGCGTGCCAGGCTCCATTTGTCTTTATAACAGAGTACCAGGCAGCAGTGAAGGAGATAAATAAACAGAGAGACAACGACCAAACCCCACAGGCTCACGGATGCACTGGCGGAGGTAAGCCTCATGCCGCAGTCACCGAGAAACAACACTTCAGTCTTGATCCATGCCCACCGACAGATTCGCCTCCCCTCACTGCCCCAGTCCACCAGCACGTCTGGGTCTGACAGATGCTCTACTGGACCAAGTCCTCCTGTTTTTAACCCCACAGTCCATCCAGGTCCAAAAAGATGTTCTGCACTGTGGGGGAGGGGAGGGAAACCAACCAGGTTCCACACAGCAAGGGGGCAGGATACCAGCCTATCCCCAGCCCTCAACTTCTCCTTCCATCGCTCTTGACAGAGGCACACTGGGGGCCGGTTCCCAGAAGGCCTACTTGCTGTAATTACCTCTGCGATGGCCTGGATTGCCCTAACCCTGGTGGCACAGGATCTCTTCCTCTACCCTCCAAGCAGGGCAGGGCCAGTATGCCCTGGGTCTCAGTGGCCCCAGGACACAGGCAGAGGTAGCAAGAGAGTGGAACAGAGAGGCAGCTAGGCCCTGGCCCTGTCCTTGGTGCTGCCGCCCTCTGCGCGGCTGCGTGCAAGCCAGTCAGCCTTCGCTCCTGAGCCTGGTCCCTGTGGAAGGGCCATAAATTCACCAAGGCACGCAGCAGCGAGCGTTTGCAGGAAAGGCGAAGGAGTAACACTGCTAGAGGCCTGATCCACAGGGACTTTCCTAGACTGCGGGCTCTTCTTATGTCTTAGGTGACCTGATTTGGGGGGGGGGGAAGCACGCGGGTATCTTTTGGACCCCAGACCTCATGGAGGACGGCACAGAGTAATCGTCCGGGTTCTCTTTCATTGGCATAAATGGGAGAGCGATGGGAAGCGATGATCTGTACCAGAAATCCTCAGTGGCTCTGTGCAAACATCCGACACGACCTGGCCAAGGCTCCTCTGGCACTCAGCTGCCTCCCTGAGAGCGACTGATGGAGCCTGGCGCGCCCCCTGCAGCTCTGCCTCGGCTCCCTAGCCTCTTATGGGTTCCCCATCTTTCCCCTCTCCGTCATCTGGCAGGGGCAGCCCAGCTTTACCAGAAGCTCCAAGCCCAGCCGGGAAAGGAGGGGTTAAGCGCTGCTTCCCCGAGTGTGCAGTGCGCTCAGCTCCCACGCAGGGAGGCCGATGGTCCCCCGGGAGGGCGGAGGCGGCAGCTTGGTCCTCCCTCCGGGCCCAGGGGAGGAGCTCCCTGCCCGCGGGAGACCAGAGGGCTGGCATTGAGAAAACGCCCCCTGCCCCATGCAGCCACCCTGCAGTGGCTTTGAAGCCTGGCAGCCCCCAGCACCCCACTTCCACCAGCAGGCGCCTTCTCTACAACTTTCCCCTTCCCAATAGTCGTTCACCTGGAGGGTCTGGTTTTAATTAGTGTAATATCCCTGTTACCAGTGCAGCCTGATTAAGACATCCGCCCCATCCACGATGTGTACTTAATGAGCGCGTTCTGCTGTAATGTTTGTACTTTTCCCCCCATTATATTTTGCAGACCAGTAAAACCAAAGCTGGTTTCTCTTGAAAGATCTCATTACTTCAGCCCCTACTCCATTCACCCCGTACCTGCTCGGGCTCTCTGGGCCCCAGGCTCCCTGGAGCGCACCCGAGGCGTCCCCAGCCTAGCCAGTGTTTGTGACAGAAAATTAACGACCTGCACGCACCAGAAGGCACTTCACTCCAGCTGGATGAAGAAGGGGCTTGTCCAGAAGAAGGAAGGATCCCTCAGTCCCTGGCCTTAGCTTCCACTGTGGATGTCTCACGCATCACGAGACTACCAGCGCCATGGGCGTCCTTTTTAAAAGTGACCATCCAATAATTAGAATGGCTCTGAGAAGCAAAACCCAAAAGAGGGAACAGGGACGTGGCTGTGCCTTCCAGGACTCTCCTCGCCTCAATGCCCCCCCCCCGCAACACACACACCAGACGACGACGTCAGTGGGCTTCTGGAACAGCCAACCCCCAAGCCCATGTGAGACCCGGGATCCTGGGTCTACTCCAGCTGTCTACTGGGGTCTCAATGCCCCTCTGGTCGCCTCCACGCCTAGCTCCGGGTACAGACTGGGTGCGGGACCCAATCGGCCGGAACACGGAGGGGATGCGTGCCAACGGATAAGAGCGAAGCTTCCTTGCAGAGTTCCCAAATGACCGCCTGCCGAGGTGGAGAGCCCCAAGCGAACCCTGCCACCTTCTGGGACCACTCGTCAGAAAGTTTGGGCCAGGGTTGTGCAGGCCACCTTAACAAGGCTTCCCCAACCAAGCTGTCCCAGCCCTTTAGCTGTGCAGAAGCGAGCAGCAGGCTCAGATCCATGCTAGGAAGACTCGGCCCCGAGCGCCCCCAGCTCACAGGCTGGAGGGCCCTGCACGCCACCCGCGCCCGCTGCTGTTCCACGCACGCCGGGGCGCTGCGGGCCCTGGTCCTCCCGGGGGAACCAACGGAGACATTAGCATTCCCATAACTCCTTAGGGTCATCAGTCCCTCGATCAGCTCTCCTCTCGCTGGACCCCAGCAGCCCTCCCTGGCCTGGGAGTGGCGAGAATCTCACGCGGCAGCACAGCAGGGTCGCCAGCCCCGCTTGCAGTCGCCCGGGTTGGGGCCGCCTCCCAGATGCGCCCCGGGGGCCGGAATCTCCGTGCGCCACGGCTTCCCCTAGTCTGGGAGTTCCCAGAGCCGGGCATTGTGCCGCCGCCGCCAACAACAACACCACCACGGCCACGCAGTGCGTGGGACTCCCCGGTGTCTCCATGGAGCCTGACCCCGGGCCTTCCTTCCCATTCACAAAATCCCCTCCCCGCTCTGGTTTCCCGGCTGAGCCGGTAGCCCACGCAGAACTCGGGAACCCCGACCCCGCACGCGGACCCCTGACCCCCAAGGGCGCCACCCCTTCCCCGCGCGACCTCAGGTCTGTCCCCGGTCACGCTCCACAGCCCCGCGTCCTCGCCGGCCCCGCCTCCCACTGCGGGGTCCCGCGCGCCCCTCCCCGGGCCGTGCCCACAGCCCCAGCCGGCTCCTCGCGATGGTCGTGACCGAGGTGGAAGCCCAGGGTCTGGCTACTCACGGGTTCAGCGCTCTCCGCGGCAGGTGACGGGGCTCCGGCGGCCATGCCCCAGCTGCATCCCCGCTGCCCCGGCGAGCCGGCGGCAAGGGACGCGAGAGGCCGGGCTGGAACGTTAGTGGCGGCCGCAGCGTCTCTGACGACCGCAAGAGCTGCTGGAGCTGGTGCCCGGCTGCTGACCGAGGAGGTTTCGGCTGGCTCTGGGGGAACTGCTCCGTGTCCCCGCTCCTCTTGCCTCTCCGAGTCTCTCTCTCTCTCCCTCTCTCTCTCTCTCTCTCTCTCTCTCTCTCCCTCTCTCTCTCTCTCCTCCCCCCCCCCTCGTTCCTCTGGCTGGCTCGGCTGGAGCCAGAAGGCAGCAGGAGCACGCGGTGGCGGTGGTGGCGGCGGCACTGGCAGAGCGCGCAGCTCGGGTGGGGAGGGGGGGGGTGCTCCAGCGGTCGCACGACTAGGGAGGGCGGCGGGGCAGGGAGGGCCAAGAGCTAATGGAATGTGGCCACAGGAGCCCTGGAGTTCCAGCTCCAGCCTCGCAGAACGAACAGGGATGCGTAGGGTAGTACTAGCGGGGTATCCTAGAGCTCAGTGACAGCTGGGTTCCTCCAAGCGCCGCCCCCCACCCCGGGCCCACCTCCCCTCCCTCCTTCCCTTCCTCTGGGCGACCTCAGCGTGTGTCAGCCCTAGCAGGACCCTTGCACCCCCATCCCCGCTGGGACCCGCTTCTCTCCCTCTACCCAGGGGTCCCTAGAAAGACTTGGTCACTGAGAGGCGGCAATGAATGTCCCCTCCCCCACACCTCTCCAGCCAGTCTGCTGCGCCCGCGCCTCCTAACTGGCCGCTAGGGAAGACCCTTAAGAGGCCTGGAGTTCCATGCCTTGCTTTCCTCAGAATCATGGCAAAGGAGCTAGGAGGCCCACCCCGGAACAGGAGGGAAAGGGTACAATTGTCCCAGCTGGGGATCCATAGCCTGAAATCAGAAGAGCCTCCCCCAACCCAGAGAACAGGAGCCTAGCAAGGGGTCTGAGGTCTGGCATCCCTAGCCTTGGGAAGAGAGAAAGGCCGAGGAAGGTAGTGCCTGTGAGCTGATGAGACCCAGGGACAACAGCGGGGCCCTGGCATTCGATTGCAGAGGTCAGCAAAGGGCCTAGCAGATCCCCAGAGGCGTGGGCTAGACCTGGCTACTGCTGCAACATAGAAAGCAACCACAATGCACGCAGCGCCTGGACTGGGGAGCTGCACTCTCAAAGGGCATTTCCAGTCTAGAAACAAACGGATCAAAAACCCTGTTCCCGGTTGCTGGATGCTGTTTCTAGAACAATCAGCTTTCTTCCTGCCCCTAACCACAGCTGGAGCTTTGTGGGTAGGGGGACTAGAAGAGTGGGGGTACACAAAGGAGAGGTGACAATGGCTCTGGGGTGCCTGCCTTGCAGATGGAGGACAGACAGTGTCTAAGCTGAGTACCTGCTGCCAGCTCAGGGGCTTTTAATTTCTGGTCCTTCAGCCTGTCTGAACCATTGATCTGTCTTACCCAGTGGGAAGCCGGTGCTTTGGAAGGAAGTGAGCAGCCTGGCCCTGCAACCAAACATTGCATAGATGACTTGTCTTTGAGACAGTCACAGAATGTGCCCCAGCCCCAAATTTGAGATGGCATACCTCTGCCTCACAGACCAACTGTTTCTCTCTGTGCGATCCAGGCTTGCACAGCCTGTGAATGCTGGCCAGGCCACACCACCACTCAAAGTCTCACCTCCCTGGGCCAACAGTGTCTGTCCCTCCTGGTTCTTCTGCCCTGAGAACCCCTCGCCCCCCCCCCCAGCCCAGTTCCCACTGCCCTTCTGATCCTGGCCCCTGGAGATCAAAGACAGGTTCCCCATACCGTACCACATGCCAGGGGAGTTACCTAGCACAAGCTGTGGGCTTCAAGGGGAAGGGCCCAGGACCGAAGCTCTGGTTTCACACCCATCTCCAGAGGCCATTCCCAGAAAGGTCTGCAGGTGGCGCCAGGCAGCACAGAGCAGTCAGCCACTCAGAAAGCAGGGTACTGAACTGAAGCTGGCTCCTGCAGCCACATGGTCTGTCCAGTAGATTACTCCTCGGGAACAGAGATTACTCCTCGGGAATAGGCCCCATGCCATATGCCCTGCAGCTGCCATCAAAGGGTCTGCCCAGACAAGGGAGGCAGGGGCTATGTGTGCACAGAGACTAACAAGGATGCCTTCTACTTAGAGAATTTTATTTTTAAGTGTGTGTGTGTGTGTGTGTGTGTGTGTGTGTGTGTACACTCCAGAGTGCATTGCCCTCAGAAGCCAGAAGAGGGAGTCAGATCCCCTGTGGCTGGAATCATAGGCAGTTATGGCACAAAAAAGAAACTTTCTAAAAGTATTATAATCATCAACCTAACAGGACCTAGAAGGACCTAGGAAACAAGTGTCTTGTTGTGTATAGGAGTCTCTAGAGCAGAGGTTCTCAACAGTCCTAAGGCTGCAACCCTTTAACACAGTTCCTCTTGTCGGGGTGACCCCCCCAACCATAAAATTATTTTCGTTGCTACTTCATAACTGTAATTTTGCTACTGTTATGACTTGCTGAGAACTGTTGCTCTGCAGGGAGTTGCCCTGCAAAGATCTGCCATCAATATGGTTGATGTTACCCTGTTGGCCAGCGGTCCTCCACTCAATAAAAAAGAGGACTGACTGGAGTTGGGTGCCAGCATCCGTTGCCCTCTGCCTCCTAGCTGAGGATATGGTCTCACACCGTCTCACACTTCCGCGCTGTGTCTTCCCCGTCATGATGGACTGCACCCCCAAACTGTGAGTCACAGCAAAAGACTCCTCTGAGTTGCCTTTTTTCATGAATTTTTTTCATCATACATGTCGTCATACAGTCATACAAGCAATGAGAAAAATGGCTAATGCTGCTTTGGACCACTCCCCACAAGGATGTGGAATACAGCAGAGAAGACACCGTATGCGGGGTATTGCTGGAAAGCAACAGGATGGAGGTGGCTGGGGAGCTGGGCTGAGTCCTGCCTGCTACGGTGAAGGCCAGTACTAGAGTCCTCAATGTAGCATGCATCTAATAGGTCTTCAATAAAAGCCCAGAGTCAGACAAAGGCTTTCAGAGATGCTAGGCCTGTAGGCCAAAGACAGATGCCCCAACGATGCAGAGGAACCATGGGTGACTGTCCAGGCAGACAGCTGTTTCTGTCATTTCTCACATCTTTTGGAAGCTTCTTGCTTGCACTTGATTATTCGTGTAATATTATTTCCTTCGCGGGTCTCTGACAGAGGTGAAAACTTCATAGTTAATAGTTTTCCTTGTTACCAGATTCAGAAAAGAAAATCACTGAAGAAATGTAAAGCATATAAGGTTGAGAGACATAAGGTAGCTTTTGTAATGTAAGATAGAATAGAAAGTACAACCAAGATAGCATGGATATAGAATAATAGAATTTTTTTCTGAATTTTCAATTGTTAATGGACTAGACATTACTGATGTATTTATTGCCTGTATTTATTGTATATAGTTCTTGTGCTTATTGTATATAGTTTTTCTATATTAGTTATAGCCTTCTTTTTATTTTAGACCAAAAAAAAAAAAAAACCAGGGAAAAATGTAGAGATATCTTGATTATACTCTGACAGATAAAGCTTGCCTGAAGATCAGAGGGTAGGGCTAGCCACCAGTTAAACACAGAGTTCTGGAGAACTGTACAGACAGGCAGAGAGTGATATGGCTGGGCCGGGAGAGGAAGTTATAAGGCGTGAGAAAACAGGAGCTCGGTCTCTTTCTGGCTGGAAAGTTAGCAAGGTAAAGATGACTGTGGTGGCTTGCTCCGTTGTCCCTCTGATCTACAAGCAAGCTTTATTTGCTAGAGTATAAACAAGACATCACTACACCTAAGTGCCTGGGAAGCCAAGGATCCAATTCACCCCACAGGCCAGATACCCTGACTCTTCTGGATCAGGAGCCAGGGTCTATCCTCAGGACTCTGACCAGCCACAGGAAAGAAACCTACACCAACCTTTAGGGTTCCCGCCAGAAGCACCAGGGCACAAGCCCCACAGACACTGAAGGTCAGCTCTGCAAGCCCCTCCCCTAAAACTGAGGGCCTAGGTTCAGCAGAGCTCTACAGACAGCAAAACTACCTAAGCCTCCCAATGAGGGAGGGGGTATTGGGGGGTAGAGGAGACAGACACTGGGCAGGGCGGAGAAAATATCAGAAATAGACATATTTAATATCCTCAAAGAGATCAGAGGAGATATTGCAACCAGAACCAGGAGCAGGATGCTATTTTAAGAACATGTAGAGAACAAAAAAGGCCGGGGAATTAAAAGCATGCAAGCCGAAACAAAAAAACTCAGCAGACTGGTTGGAAGATAAAAGTAAGTGAATGTTCCAGAAGGCAAAGCAAAAAGACAAAGAGGGGGGAAATAAGAAAGGAGGAAAAATTAGATGGTGTGCTCGTGAGAGCTGGCATCCACACAAAGGATTGAGAGAAAGAGGGAGCATCACAAATTATTTAATTCAAGAAATTTTCCACACAATGGATAGGAATTGACCCTCGTCAAAGTACATTCTCACGAATGCAAAACACTGAAGATGAAAAGAAAAATAAATCTCAAGTTTCAGGTTCCATGAAAGCCAGCAAGAATGGTGTGGCTCCAGGGGTCACAACAGGGTAAGCTAACAGATACTAGATGCTGGAGATGCTAGATGCTAACAGATACTAGATGCTAACAGATACTAGATGCTAACAGATACTAGATGCTAACAGATACTAGATGCTGGAGATGCTAGATGCTAACAGATACTAGATGCTAACAGATACTAGATGCCTTCGGATACTGGTGGGTAGTGATTTCTGGCCCAGCATCCCTTGCTTAATCTGAACAATCAACCCTGAAGTCAGAACAAAGACACAAAGACACTTATGCAAGCAGTGTCGGGGGTGGGGGGGGTGATTCATTTTTAAGCACTGTTTTCCAACTACTACAGGATATGTTCCAACAAAACAGGGGAAGAAAGCATGGAAAAGATCCCACTGCAGGGACGAAGTCCAGGTCCAGGTGGAAAGCCCACAGTCTGGCAAAGGGCTGGCAGGGGCTGGCAGGGGCTGGCAGGGGCAGCCCTGTCCCAGACAGGAGGTCACTAATCCAGGTGACAAGGGAGAAGCGGCACATCAAACCATCCATTGCACCTGCCACCCACTGCCACCACCAATGCCACCACCACTGCCACCACCACTGCCCTCTCAATGTCAGGCAGGCTTAGCCTGGGTTCTTCT